ACCCCTCAGGACCTGGCGACTGAGGAGGCGGTACAGGGGCCCATGACAGATTACGGGCCTGGCAGCAGCATGAGGAGTCGGTACGGGGGCCCATGGGGAATTACGGGCCTGGCAGCAGCAATGGGGGGGCCCGTAATCTGCCAGCACCCTATGACAAAATGGAACCCACCAGCAGTGTGAGGAGGGCCTGAAAGTGGCACATGGCAGAGTGTGGCGATGGAGGACAGCAGCAATAGGAGGCCCTTACAGGGACCCATGAGAACTCTGGACCTGGGAGCAGAATGGGAGAGGCCGTACAGGGACCCTGGACCATCTGGGACTTTGGCATAGCAGATGAGGAGCGCGGTGTGTACGGGGGGCCCATGGCAGAGTCACGGGCCTGGCAGCTGCACATGAGGATGTGCCCGTAATCTGCGGCATGCACCCTCGCCTATGACAAGGGTGGAACCCTCCAGCAGTGTGTGAGGGGAGGCCCGAAATTGGCCAGCACTATGGCAGAAAATGGCGCTGGAGACGGCAGCAATGGGAGGCCCGTACAGGGACCCCATGAGACACTCTGGGACCTGGCTAGCAGCATGAGGAGGCTGGTACAGGGGCCCCATGACATATTACGGGCCTGGCAGCTGCATCATGAGGAGTCAGGTACGGGGGCCATGGCAGATTACGGGCCTGGCAGCAGCAATGGGAGGCCCGTAATCTGCAGCACCCTATGACAAAATGGAACCCACCAGCAGTGTGAGGAGTGACCTGAAAGTGGCACATGGCAGAGTGTGGCGATGGAGACAGCAGCAATGGGAGGCCGTACAGGGACCATGAGACACTCTGGACCTGGCAGCAGCATGAGGAGGCGGTACAGGGGCCCATGACAGATTACGGGCCGGGCAGCAGCAGCATGAGGAGTCGGTACGGGGGCCCATGGCAGATTACGGGCCTGGCAGCAGCAATGGGAGGCCCGTAATCTGCCAGCACCCTATGACAAAATGGAACCCACCAGCAGTGTGAGGAGACCTGAAAGTGGCACATGGCAGAGTGTGGCGATGGAGACAGCAGCAATGGGAGGCCGTACAGGGACCCATGAGACACTCTGGACCTGGCAGCAGCATGAGGAGGCGGGTTTACAGGGGCCCATGACAGATTACGGGCCTGGCAGCAGCATGAGGAGTCGGTACGGGGGCCCATGGCAGATTACGGGCCTGGCAGCAGCAATGGGAGGCCGTTAATCTGCCAGCACCCTATGACAAAATGGTAACCCACCACAGGCCAAGCAGTGTGAGGAGACCGGAGACTGGGAATATGGCAGAGTTTGGCGAGGGGGAAAAGTGGGCACATGGCAGAGTGTGGCGATGGAGACAGCAGCTAAATGGGAGGCCGTACAGGGGACCCATGAGAAACTCTGGACCTGGCTGCAGCATGAGGAGGCGGTACGGGGGGCCCATGGCAGATTAAGGGCCTGGCAGCAGCAATGGGAGGCCCGTAATCTGCCAGCACCCTATGACAAAATGGAAAACCCACCAGCAGTGTGAGGAGACCTGAAAAAGTGGGCACATGGCAGAGTGTGGTGGGTCATGGGTCCCGCCGCGGGCGCCGGCTGCCGTCCCCGGCGCCATGGCGCAATAGCGGCTTGCTACACGCCTGGACACAGGCACCAGATCCCGTACAGGCCGCGCTGACAGGTAGGCCGCGCATGCGCAGTAGGAGCCGCGGGTCGCGCCTCGGTGCGGACCCATGACAGCCCGGGGCACGTACCTGGCGGCCAATGGCAGTGCAGGGCGCGATAAATTTAAAAGATGCCCTTGCACTGTCACAAATCGCCGCACCAGGTCTGATTCTGATACCTGTGTTTCCTGTGATTGTGACCCGGATTGTTTGACGTTCATGCTGCTCCTGCCCTGACACCGGATTATGGTTGACTACTGCTGCCTTCCCCTGTGTATTGACCGGATGTCCCCTGACTAACGCTGGCCTTCTCCTGTCCCGACCCCCGGCTTGTTTGACCATTCTGCGGACTGACCCCGGTAACTGACCCCAGCGTGCGACCTGGACCACTCTCTGCCTACTGTCCTCGGTACAGACCGCCATTTCCCACGGTGGACAGACCGCCGGTTTATCCTGCCAGGGTCCGCCGCCTCCTCACATCTGACTCATACGCTCTGTTCTACTTCACAATCCACGGAGGCTCCCTCTGCCCACGTGGTGGTATTGCTCGGACGGTCGTGACCTGGTCCCGGTTCTGCTCCAAGTCCATCCCCACCATCAGGGGCCCTGGTGAAAATGCAGACCGGGACTTAGACCCCACGCTTCCAGGGGTGATTCGCCTAGTGGGCTGCGCTAGAGGTGCCACCTGGCGGATCCGTAACAGTACCTTGCGGCCATGACAGAGTCAGGAAGAGGCCCGCCTCCCTGGAGGATATCTGCCAGCATATGGCGAACCCTAACCCAAGCGGTCCAGACTTTCATACCCGATGCACCCACCTTGAGGACCGCTATGGAGACGTTAGTCACCCTTACATCCCCGGCACAGAGCCCGAGTCCCGCAGCTTCTCCTGGGGAATCACCTGCACTACCCCAGCTCCCGGAGCAGGGGCCGCTCCCCCTACTCCTGAAACCCCGCGTTCCCTTACCAGAACGCTTCCGTGGAGACCGAAGCCGCTTCAGGGCTTTCCGGAATGCGTGCATACCTGTTCTTCGACCTGGCAGCCCCGCACGTTCACACCACCGAGACCGTCAAGGTGGGGTTTATAGTCTCTCTCCTTCAGGATGAGCCCCAGGATTGGCTCATCGCCTGATGGAGAATCACGACCCCCATCTTGATTCCGTGACTGAATTTTTTAGAGCCATGGCCATACTATATGACGACCCTCAAGCGAGCTGCTTCCGCAGAGTCCTACCCTGTACTCTCTGCGGCAGGGTCGCCGTGGGGCAGCCGAGGAGTACGCGTCTGAATTCAGACGCTGGATGGGGGACACCCGATGGAACAATGCGGCATTATGTCACCAATTTCGCATCGGGCTATCTGAGTCACTCAAAGACGACGTTAGCACGGGTAGGCCTACCTGACTCCCTAGAGAAGCTAATCGAGCTGGCCATACAAATTGACCGCAGACTGAGAGAACGCCGGCTTGAACGAAGCAACCAGGGTCAAAGGGCGGCTTGGGTACATCAAGGGGATTATTCCCCGCCCACAGGAAGCACTACCCGGAGTTCGGAACCTGAGGAACACCTCCGAACCCATGCAACTGGGACTGGCTCGGTCCACAATTATCGGCCGAAGAACGTCAGAGGAGACTATCACAGAACCTCTGTCTGTACTGCGGAGAATCTGGCCACCGGTAGTGCGCTCCTGTCCTACGAAAAAAAAAATGTAAGTCCACTTCTAGTTTTTTTCCGTTATCTGCGGAAAGGGGTGATCAGTCAAGTTATCTGGCCATACCGGTGTCTTTACAGCTCCCAGGAAGAACCTTGACGGTGACAGCTATCATAGATTCGGGGGCAATGTAGCTGCTTTATTGATCTCACGTTTGCTCACTCACAGCAAGGTATCCCACTCCAGACCAAGGAAAGGGGGCTGAACATCTTCCTGGCGGATGGGTCTAGCTTAAAATCGGGAGTGGTGAATCAGGAGACACCTCCTATTTTCGCCTCAATGGCTGATCATTCACCAGGAATTCCTCCGTCTGGACGCCATCGCGTCCCCCCTTTTCCCGGTCATTCTGGGGCTTTCCTTGGCTGCGAGCACCATAACCCCCAGATTGACTGGGAGGAAGGGAACCGTGCAGTTTCGGTCCACATACTGTCTGAAAAGTTGCCACGTCTCAGGGCCCGTGGTCCCCCCCCCCAATTAACTCCTATGCATGGATGGGGATACAGATCTGTTCCCAGGTTATTCCCTATTCCCCCGGCCTACCACGACTTTCTGGACGTGTTTAGTAAGCAAGGGGCAGACACACTTCCCCCCCACACCGATTCTTACGACTGTCCCATAGACCTCCTGCCCGGATCTGAAATTTCGTTTCGGCCGTATTTTCCCTTTATCAGAGCTCGAGTCAGGAGTTTTGAGGGAATACATAGACGAAAACCTCAGAAGGGGTTTATTCGCCCTTCCACGTCCCCAGCCGGGGCCGGGCTATTCTTTGTAGAGAAGAAGGACAAGACACTGCGGCCCTGTATAGAGTACCGTGACCTGAATAGGATCGCGGGTGAAAAAAAAAACCGCTACCCGTTACCCCTGGTTCCCGAGCTCCTCCAGAGGTTAAGGTCCGCAATGGTTTTTTTACTAAGCTAGACTTACGGGGGGCCTACAATCTAGTTCGTATCAGGGAAGGTGATGAATGGAAGACGGCCCTTTCCGTACGCGATACGGACACTTTGAATACCTGTCATTGCCGTTCGGGCTCTGTAACGCTCCGGCCACCTTCCAACATTTTATAAACGACGTGTTTTGTGATTTCCTTGATATCTTCATGGTTGTCTATTTGGACGACATCTTAATCTTCTCGCCCTCTCTGGAGGCTCATCGAAATCACGTGATGCGGGTGTTGGAACGTTTGCGCCAACACAGGCTATACGCCAAAGCTGACAAAATGCTGTTTTGAACAGCATAAGATCACATTCCTGGGATTGGTTCTCTCCCCCGCGGGGGTCGCGATGGACCCCCGGAAAAGTCTCGGCAATCCTGATATTGGCCGATACCCACCGATAAGAAGGGCGTGCAGCGTTTTATCGGTTTTGCAAACTTTTATTCGAAAATTTATCAAGAACTTCTCCGGACTGGTCTCCCCAATCACGCAACTGACTAAACAGTGGGATCCGCTTTAAGTGGTCTACCGAAGCACAAACCTGCTTTTGAAGTTCTCAAGAAACTTTTTACCTCTGCTTCCGATACTCAGTCATCCCGATTCTTCTCTCCCATACGTGTTGGAAGTGGGACGCCTCAGAAAACGCGGTAGGAGCGGTCCTGTCTCAAAGGAACGGCACCAAGGAGCTGCTGTGTACATCCTGTAGCGTTCTTTCTCCAGGAAATTGACACCTGCCGAGCGAAACTACGACATCGGAGATCGGGAGCTCCTGGCCATAAAGACCGCCCTGGAAGAATGGCGGTACTTGCTGGAAGGAGCTACACACCCATCCTGATAGATACCGATCACAAAAACCTGGAGTATTTGAGGACAGCCAGACGACTGAAGCCACGCCAGGCGAGATGGGCTCTTTTCTTTTCCCTGTTTACCTTCCACATAACTTATCGACCTGGCTCTAAGAACACTAAGCCGGACGCGCTGTCCCGCATGTTTGAGGACCCCGACGATACACCAAGACCTGACACGATCCTACCATCCGGAAACTTCCTCGTCCTACAGACGGAACTCCGCTCCCAAACTTCTTGACGCTTCCGTGGGACTACCAGCGCCGCCTGGGACACCTCTCCTGAACCGTGAAGGGTTATTGTGGAAGGAGGGTCAGATCGTAGTACCCGAAGGAGTCCCGAACCATGTCCTGGGGCCACTGCCATGACCATCCAATGGCGGGCCATTTCGGAGTTACGAAGACCCTGGAACTTCTGCAGCGCTCATTCTGGTGGCCGAACATGGTCAAGGACTGCGAGCGCTACGTTCAGACTTGTCCTACCTGCCAGAGGAATAAACCCTCCAGAAGCAAGGGCTGGGGATTGTTGCGCCCGTTGCCAATTCCAAAGAGGGCCTGGCAAATGATAGCCATGGACTTTATTGTCGAACTCCCACCGTCTCAAGGCCACACTGCCATATTTGTGATTGTCGATCGCTTCTCTAAGATGGCCCATTTCGTACCCCTGGAAAAGACACCATCCGCGCCGGAAACTGCACGAATATTTATCAAGGAAATAGTTAGACTACATGGAGTTCCCGAGGATATAGTATCAGATCGGGGAGCCCAGTTCACTTCAAGGTTCTGGAAGGCCTTGTGCGAAGCATTGGGAATCAAGTTGTCACTCTCGTCCGCTTACCATCCCCAGACCAATGGGGCAAACAGAGAGGACCAACCAAGTATTAGAGCAATACCTCCGATGCTACACGTCCTACCTACAGGACGACTGGTTGACGCTGTTACCGTCAGCGGAGTTTGCCTACAACAACTCGAACCACTCCGCTACGGGGCAATCCCCGTTCTTCTTCACCAATTACGGTTACCATCCAGCATTTCTTCCCGATCTCATGCCAGAGAGCTCAGTACCAGCATCTCAAGACATCCTAAATTTCCTTTCGACCAATAACAAAACAGTTCAGGAGGCCATCACGAAAGCCCAGGAGGACAGCAAGAAGGCATTTGACAGGAGGAGAAGGGGGGGAACTGGCGCTTCAACCTGGAGACCGGGTTTGGCTGGCCACTGCCAACTTGAAGATGCAGTGTCCCATCAAGGAAATTGGGTCCGAAATTTGTTGGCCCGTTCCAAATCAAGCGAGTCATCAACGAGGTAGCTTACGAACTCGAACTGCCGGAGTCTTTCAGGATTCACCCGGTGTTTCATGTGTCTCTTCTGAAACCGGCCGCATCGGACCCTTTCCCGGATCGGAATCCAGGCCTCCTGAGGCAGTCACCATAGGTGAACAAGAAGAGTACGAGGTAGAAACGATTCTCAGTTGCCGTAGGAGGGGAGGCCAGACGCAGTTTTTTGATAAAATGGAAGGGTTATGGTCCTGAGGAAAACTCTTGGGAACCCATCCAGAATGTTCACGCTCCCAGGCTCATCCGGGAGTTCTTTCGTGGCCACCCGCGGTGGAGAAATCAGTGGGGCTCCCGGAGGGTGCCCGTAGGGGGGGGGCAATGTCAGAGTCCGCCGCGGCTCCGTCCCCGGCGCATGCGCAATAGCGGCGGCTCACGCCGGGACACAGGCACCAGATCCCGGCGGGCCGCGGCTGACAGGAGGCCGCGCATGCGCAGTAGGAGCCGCGGGCGCGCCTCGGGCGACCAATGACAGCCCGGGGGCGCGTCCTGGGCGGCCAATGGCAGTGCAGGGCGCGATATTTAAAGATGCCCTGCACTGTCACAAATCGCCGCAAGGTCTGATCTGATACCTGTGTTTCCTGTGATTGTGACCCGGATTGTTTGACGTTCTGCCTGCTCCTGCCCTGACCCGGATTATCTGACTACGCTGCCTTCCCCTGTGATTGACCGGATTGTCCCTGACTACGCTGCCTTCTCCTGTCCCGACCCCCGGCTTGTTTGACCATTCTGCAGACTGACCCCGGTAACTGACCCAGCGTGCGACCTGACCACTCTCTGCCTACTGTCTCGGTACCACGCCATTTCCCACGGTGACAACCGCCGGTTTATCCTGCCAGGTCCTGCCGGCCTCCTCACATCTGACTCTACTCTGTCCTACTTCTATCCACGGAGGCTCCCTCTGCCACGGGTGGTATTGCTCGGAGGTCGTGACCTGGTCCCGGTTCTGCTCCAAGTCCATCCCCACCATCAGGGGCCCTGGGTGAAAACGCAGACCGGGACTTAGACCCCACGCTCCGGGTGATTCCGCCTAGTGGGCTGCCAGAGGTGCCACCTGGCGGATCCGTAACAGTGTGGCGATGGAGACAGCAGCAATGGGAGGCCGTACAGGGACCCATGAGACACTCTGGACCTGGCAGCAGCAGCATGAGGAGTTGGTACAGGGGCCCATGGCAGATTACGGGCCTGGCAGCAGCAATGGGAGGCCCGTAATCTGCCAGCACCCTATGACAAAATGGAACCCACCAGCAGTGTGAGGAGACCTGAAAGTGGCACATGGCAGAGTGTGGCGATGGAGACAGCAGCAATGGGAGGCCGTACAGGGACCCATGACACACTCTGGACCTGGCAGCAGCATGAGGATGAGGCGGTACGGGGGCCCATGGCAGATTACGGGCCTGGCAGCAGCAATGGGAGGCCCGTAATCTGCCAGCACCCTATGACAAAATGGAACCCACCAGCAGTGTGAGGAGTGGCACATGAAAGTGTGGCACATGGCAGAGTGGGCGATGGAGAGACAGCAGCAATGGGAGGCCGTACAGGGACCCATGAGACACTGCACCCTGGACCTGGCAGCAGCATGAGGAGGCGGTACAGGGGCCCATGGCAGATTACGGGCCTGGCAGCAGCAATGGGAGGCCCGTAATCTGCCAGCACCCTATGACAAAATGGAACCCACCAGCAGCAGTGTGAGGAGACCTGAAAGTGGCACATGGCAGAGTGTGGCGATGGAGACAGCAGCAATGGGAGGCCGTACAGGGACCCATGAGACACTCTGGACCTGGCAGCAGCATGAGGAGGCGGTACAGGGGCCCATGGACAGATTACGGGCCTGGCAGCAGCATGAGGAGTTGGTACGGGGGCCCATGGCAATTACGGGCCTGGCAGCAGCAATGGGAGGCCCATCTACAGCACCCTATGACAAAATGGAACCCACCAGCAGTGTGAGGAGACCTGAAAGTGGCACATGGCAGAGTGTGGCGATGGAGACAGCAGCAATGGGAGGCCGTACAGGGACCCATGAGAGACTCTGGACCTGGCAGCAGCATGAGGAGGCGGTATAGGGGCCCATGGCAGATTAGGGGCCTGGCAGCAGCTATGGGAGGCCCGTAATCTGCCAGCACCCTATGACAAAAAATGGAACACACCAGCAGTGTGTGAGGAGACCTGAAAGTGGCACATGGCAGAGTGTGGCGATGGAGACAGCAGCAATGGGAGGGCCGTACAGGGACCCATGAGAGACTCTGGACCTGGCAGCAGCATGAGGAGGCGGTATAGGGGCCCATGGCAGATTAGGGGCCTGGCAGCAGCTATGGGAGGCCCGTAATCTGCCAGCACCCTATGTCAAAAAATTGGAACACACCAGCAGTGTGTGAGGAGACCTGAAAGTGGCACATGGCAGAGTGTGGCGATGGAGACAGCAGCAATGGGAGGCCGTACAGGGACCCATGAGAGACTCTGGACCTGGCAGCAGCATGAGGAGGCGGTATAGGGGCCCATGGCAGATTAGGGGCCTGGCAGCAGCTAATGGGAGGCCCGTAATCTGCCAGCACCCTATGACAAAAAATGGAACACACCAGCAGTGTGAGTTAGACCTGAAAGTGGCATAACATGTTTGGGGCATGATTCATGGCGGATTTAGTCAGTTGTGTCAGGAACTGGTGGTTTGAAATCCAGACAAATCCACGCCTGATTCATTTTCACAAACGTGAGTCTCTCCACACTTTGGGTGGACAGTCGTGTCCTCCGCGGAGTTACAATACCTCCTGCCGCACTAAACACGCGCTCCGATGCCACGCTACTGGCCGGGCATGACAGCCTTTCAAGGGCAAATTCAGCTAGTTGGGGCCAAAGGTCAAGTTTCGTTGCCCAGTAGTCAAGGGGATTGTCTACCTCGGTTGGCAGGGTGCTGTCCAAGTAGGCCCAAGCCTGTTGTTTGAGGTCCTGCTCCAGGTCCACCTGATGCTGCTGCTGCTGCGGCTGGTTAGTAGTTTTCCTCACTGCGCTGGTGAAGAAAGCTACTCATCATCGACTGCAGACTGAGGCAGCCGCTGCTGTGGAGCTGCCACTGCTCCTACCACCCCACCCCTCCCCTGCTGCCATGGCAGCGGAACGCGAGCGCACAGGGCCCACAGTGTCTGAGGATGGACGTTGGCGCAGAAAGGCAGAGACCAACTGACTACATAGGTGGTTTTTATAGTACTTTATTTTGGCCTCCCTCTCAGCAGGTGTGAAAAAGGCCACCATTTTTGAACGGTAGCGAGGGTCCAACAAGGTGGACAGCCAAAAGTCATCCCTCTGTCTGATGGTTATTATTCGGCTGTCGCTACGCAAGCAACCGAGCATGCTATGGGCCATTTGTGCCAAGGAATGCGAGGGACTCCCTGCCTCCATCTCCACAGCATACTGCCACGGTGCGTCTGGGTCCTCTGTCTCCTCCTCCTCCTCTACCAGATGCTCCTGCTCCTCCACTCCTGTCCGCTGAGTGGAAAAAACCCCATTTCACTCAATAATTCCTGAGCACCAATGTCCTCCTCTACCTCCTCCTCTTCTTCCTGTCCTGCCCCCACAGGGGTCATGTGGCGTTGAGATCTGTGCGCCACGTCTACCGCACCCTGACCAGCCATTGTTAACAGCATTTGTTCCAGGACGTGCAACAGAGGAATGACGTCGTTCATCCCATAGTCCTGCCGACTCACGAATAGCGTGGCCTCCTCAAAGGGCCTGAGCAAGCGGCAGGTGTCACGCATGAGCTGCCAATGGCTGACATCTAAGTTACACAGGGGAGTACCTTTATCCGCTTGTAACATCAGGAAATCGGTGATGGCCTTTCGCTGCTGTTCGTAAAGGCGGTCTAACATATGTAGGGTTGAATTCCACCTTGTTGCAACGTCGCAGATCAGGCGATGCTGTGGAATTCCGTTCTGCCGCTGCAGCTCAAGGAGGGTGTGCTTTGCGGTGTAGGAATGGCTGAAATGCATGCAAAGTTTACGTGACATTTTAAGGATGTCTTGCAGTGGGATGGTGGATTTTAGGAACCGCTTGACAACCAGATTGAACACGTGAGCCATGCATGGCGCATGGCACAACCTTCCTTGACGCAGAGCAGACACCATGTTCTTTCCGTTGTCGGTCAACATGGTTCCGATTTTCAGTTTGCGCGGAGACAGCCATCTGTCGATTTCTCTGTTCATTACACTCAGAAGTTCCTCCCCTGTGTGACTACGTTCGCCAAGGCATACCAGGTGCAGCACAGCGTGACACCGTTGCGCCCTGCACATGTGATATGCCGGTCGGGTAATGGGACTTGGCACGGGGGTGGCGGCTGAGGACACGGCGGAAGAAGAGAGGTGGTAGAGGCGGACATCTTTTCTGGACCAAGGACGTGCAAACGTGGAGGCAAAAGCGGCGTGACCTGTCCAAGTTGCTGGTGCGGCTGTGCCGGCACCACGTTCACCCAGTGGGCCGTAAATGACATGTACTGTCCCTGACCGTAGTTACAGCTCCACACGTCGGCGCTGCCGTGCACTTTGGCAGAGACCGACATGCTCAAAGACTGGCCCACCATCTCTTCTACATGTGAATGCAGGGCTGGCACTGCCTTTTTGGCGAAGAAATGCCGGCTTGGCACTCTCCACCGCGGCGCGGCACAAGCCATCATTTCTCGGAAAGGTGCTGAGTCCACCACTTGGAAAGGGAGGGACTGCAGCACCAGCAACTTGGACAGGAGGACGTTCAGCTTTTGCACCGTCGGGTGCGTGCTCGCAAACTGTTGTCTCTTGGAAACGGATTCCAAGAAAGACTGCTGACGGAATCCGTGAAGAGGAGTAGCAGGAGAAGAGAAGGAGCATCTGAACGAGCGGAAGATGCCAACGAGCGACAACTCCCCTCAGCAGAGGTGTTGGAGCCTTGACTGGCTGATAGAGGGCGATTGACGTCGGGTGACGGAGCAAGTAACGGAGCGGGTGATGGAGCGGGGGCTGGGGCAGGCAGAACCGCCGTATCTTTATCACGGTTTTCCCAGGCCACCGAATGGCGACGCTGCATATGCTGACGCAACGCTGTAGTCCCAACATGGGCCCCCTGGCCACGCTTGACTTTCTGGCCACATAGTCGACATACGGCTACGTTTACTTCCTCGGGCGGCTTGACGAAAAATTGCCCACACCGCCGAGTAGGAAACTTTGCCCCCGCTACTCCTCACTGGCTGACTGCTACTTCCTCCGTGCACACCGGCACCACTACTGGCCGTGGTGGTAGGCTGCAGTGGAGCTGGTGCTCTACTCCGTGGCCGTTTGCCTCCACTGACACTGCTGCGACCCTGCTGCCTCCTGGGCAACCCACCGACTGTTTTGCTCGCTGCCAAGCTGCCACCCCCTTCTCCTGATGATGCGGAAGCAATAGCCTGATGACGACGAGGCTGCCAAGTGCGATCAGCCTCATCATCATCAATTAGGGTCTCCGCCTCACTACTAGCCCCCTCGGCTGCGTGTGGGTCAGGAGACAGACCTGTCTCTAGACCGGCTACCGAGCCACTCTCCTCGCCAGTACTTCTTCGCCTGGCTGCTGAAGAGGCGGATGTCTCCCCCCGTTCCTGACCGCCCTCTGTTAGCTCTTCCTCACTGTACAGTGGGGCTGAGCCCACAGCATGCGATACTTCGCTTGGTGAGGGAACACCAAAGGACAGGGGCAGGTAGAGGACACGTGATTTCAGTGGGCTTGCTCCCGGGCCATGCCAACTAACGGTTGTGTCTGACGTACCCACCGACCGTTGGCTGTAGGTGTCAGAGGTGACCTGGGAAGAGGAAGACGACCGAGCCAACCAATCGATGACGGCAGGGTTGTCGGTGGAGACACGACCGCTGGATGACACCCGGGAGCACTGGCCTCTGGCTGCGACTAGTGCTGCCTCGACCCCTTCCTCTGCTGCCACGTCTGCTCGCTCCTGAAACATTGCCTGCCTCCTCTGCCACTCCTCTGCGTGTTGTCTGACATACTCTTTAATTCAACGATTCTGTGTCCCTGAGTAACGATTCTGTGTCCCTGAGTAACAATTCTGTGTCTGTCCCTGAGTAACAATTCTGTGTCCCTGAGTAACAATTCTGTGTCCCTCAGTAACAATTCTGTGTCCCTGAGTAACAATTCTGTGTCCCTGTCCCTGAGTAACAATTCTGTGTCCCTCAGTAACAATTCTGTGTCCCTGAGTAACAATTCTGTGTCCCTGAGTAACAATTCTGTGTCCCTGAGTAACAATTCTGTGTCCCTGAGTAACAATTCTGTGTCCCTGAGTAACAATTCTGTGTCCCTCAGTAACAATTCTGTGTCCCTGAGTAACAATTCTGTGTCTGTCCCTGAGTAACAATTCTGTGTCCCCCAGTAACAATTCTGTGTCCCTCAGTAACAATTCTGTGTCCCTGAGTAACATTTCTGTGTCCCTGAGTAACAATTCTGTGTCCCTGAGTAACATTCTGTGTCTGAGTAACAATTCTGTGTCCCTGAGTAACAATTCTGTGTCCCTGAGTAACAATTCTGTGTCCCTGAGTAACAATTCTGTGTCCCTGAGTAACAATTCTGTGTGTCCCTGAGTAACAATTCTGTGTCCCTCAGTAACAATTCTGTGTCCCTCAGTAACAATTCTGTAACAATTCTGTCCCTGAGTAACAATTCTGTGTCCCTCAGTAACAATTCTGTGTCCCTGAGTAACAATTCTGTGTCCCTGAGTAACAATTCTGTGTCCCTGAGTAACAAGTGTCCCTGAGTAACAATTCTGTGTGTAACAATTCTGTCCCTGAGTAA